TGTCTGCTGAGTGTGTTTTGTTTTGTTATGTTTTTCTCGTGTGTGTGTGTGTGTGTGTGTGTGTGTGTGTGTGTGTGTGTGTGTGTGTGTGTGTCTGTGTGTGTGTGTTGGGAGTGGGCTTCCTACTACTTTGGCTCTGTAAGTACTTGGTTTAAAACACATTACAATTAAGCTCTGTTTTTTTTCCAGTGTGGATTAGACACCAGTTTAATTTTTTTCCCTGACTATGAGTCACCTTTTCTAATTCTGTTAACCTCAAACCAAGAAAGAGATCAGTGGTAAAGTGAGGTCATTCCCAGGTTCCCCTACTTCTCAGAGTCCCCTTTGGAGTTCTGTAAAACTTCACATTCTCAGAGAACCGCCTCCAGATGTTTGGCCTCATGGGTGTCCACACTGGGACCTAGAAAGGTGTCCTTTGATGGACATGGGGACCTATTCCAGAACCCACCAAGGCACTGACATCCTTTTATTAAATGGCATAGTGCCTGCACATACTGCTTTAAGGTTTATTTTTATTTAGGTATTATTTGTACACATCTGTGTGGGTACATGCCAGGTATGTGCAGGTGTCCATGGAAGCTGGCAGAAGGCATCAGTTTCCCGGGAGCTGGAGTTACAGGTGACTGTGAGATACTTGATGTGGATGCAGGGAACAGAACTGAGGTCCCCTGGGAGAAGAGCAAGTGTTCGTAACTGCCGGTCTATCTCTTCACCCCTTCCAGATGCTTTAGACCATCTCTGGATTATGTTGAGTACACAAAGCAGTGCGAATGCTGTGTAAATAGTTGCAATGATGCAGTGTCTAGAGCTAAATGATAAGGAAATAATTTTATACATGTTAGTAGAGACACAATTGAAGAAACAGTGTCAACCAATCTATGGTGGGTTGGGTCCCTGGGTAGAACCTACACATTCAGAGGACCCGCTCTGTATATGTTAAAGGATTTGAAAGGAATTTTAATAGCCAGCAGTGCTTGGGATTCACCAGTTTGGAGCACTCGGGCTCCAGCTGTGCACTTTGCTCTTGGGTGGTACAAAGGAATGTTTGTCTTTTGGTGTGTGTGTGTAGACTGTAAACAACCGCCATCCTCCACACCATGTACTTTATGAGGAGGATCAGTTTTCCATTTCCTGCAGCCCTCATCGTCAAAGGATTGAGGGGCAGCTAAGGGCAGTGATAAAGCCCAGCTTGGAGTATGAAGCCTGGTGTGTAGGCACAGGAATAGCCTCTTGGTGTCTATGTGGCCCTGGGCAGCTCATTTTCTTTTGCATATGAGGTTGACAGAGAAAGTACTGAATTTCCAGGGAGAGAAAGCAGCATAGGGACCTGCTAGCCACCTATTAGGAAACTTGTCAAACTTGGGTGGTATCTAAGGGTGGCAGCTACTAGCACAGAAGTGGATTATCCATCAGACACATTAAGATCTGATGGATATCCATCTGTATCTGTAGGGAATGATTCCTCCATTCATCCTGTAAATGCTCCCTGAATATCTGCTATGTGCAGGGATCCAAGAGTAGGTAAAGTCACAACGGATAAACCAGCTGTTCAACAAGAGTGGGAGATTTCCAATAAAGATGTGCAGGGCAGGAAATGTTGCCTAGGCTCAACGAGATCCTTATGACTGCTACTTGGTGTCATTTGCAGATTGGCAAAGTCAACGCTGCTCCTCATTCCTTTACTGGGGGTTCATGAGGTTCTCTTCTCTTTCATCACTGATGACCAAGTTCAAGGATTTTCAAAACTTATTCGACTCTTCATCCAGCTGACATTGAGCTCCTTCCATGTAAGTAATCTGACCGATGATGCCTTGGCTCAGAGCGGAAAAGTACTCAGGGACCAAACAGAGAATTGAGCAGAGCTGTGGACCAGTGCAGTTTTCTAGCAGCATCAGGCATTACTGGTGAGGATCCCTGACATAAGCAGGGTGTACTGATGAGGAAGTGCTGCCCGGGTCCTGCCAGCATGATTCAGTGACTCAAAAGGGATTGTTCCTGGGTTGGGATAGGTGGTGTGACTCATGATCATATTAACTGTGAGTGTCAACATGAAGCCTTTTATTAAGGGCCTATTTTTTGCCATGTTAACTGCAGAGCAGTGTCCAAATCAAACCTTTTCCATGAATCCTGTGACATTTATACAGCACACCGTACCACCAGGGTAGGGAGTAGGGCGTCCAGATCAGGAGGCTCTTGATCCAGACAGATGTGTGTGCACCAAAACTAGAAACAGGAGTTCATCTCTGGTTACCTGGGTGTTTTGGTTAACCACTGCTGACTACTTATGAACTGGCAGCTTAGCATGGCCCTCCATTTTCTTCTTTCTCATGACTTTGGGAGTCAGGTATCCAGATAGGACATGGGAAGGGTGGCTAAGCTCTGGCCCAGTGAAGCCTGCTGGGGCCCTGTGGCTTCTTTAGACATCTCAAATAGCCTGAGCTGGTGCTGGCTTCTTTTAGGTTGAATTCCTGGGGCCTCATTTTTTTTCTATCAACTGTGTTCCTTTCTTCCATTTGGTCTGAGGGGCTTGTGCTTTCCATGTGTTCTCTCCTTATGGTTTCCCCATAGGGTGACTGCCTTTTTATATGGCAGCTCAGGTCTCCCAAGACATTTGGGAACAGGGGCTGCTGGGCATTTTAAGTGCCTAGGCCTGGAACTGACGTCTTGATGATTCCACTGCACCCTGCAGTTTAAGGCAAGCCACTGTCCTGGCCCAGAATGGAGGGTGAGATTGAAGAGGGGCATGGGTTCAGAGAGGCTCAGCTCAGGAGAAAGGTCACAAAGGCAACAGACCCCAGGTAATAGTATAGGCATAGTCAGCATCTCCATATAGCAGTAGTCTTAGAATTAACCAACTTCAAATGTTGACATCAAGTGGGTCTTCTAGAATGGAGGAGAAAGAACTTGGCAAAAATTCCTTCCCAAAGACCCAGAGGCACTAGCGTATAGCTCAGTTGGTAGAATGCTGACTTAGTATGTGTGAAAAACTGGATTTGAGCCCCAGCACCATACACATATAATCCCAGAGGCCAGAAAGGATGAGCAGGGAGATCAGAACTTCTATTACATATTGAGTTAGAGGCCAGCCTGGGCTATGTGAGACCCTACCTCAAAAAATAAAGAATTCTGTCTTCTTGTAATGTAAGAAGATAAATGAATAAAATCTCACCAGTACGACTGCCTAAATATGATCTGAACAAGGACAACAACAACAGACTTGCTACATGGACAAGGGAAAGGCCACGAGGCCTCAGCTCTACATCATAAAGAACTAGGCAGCTAAGGAATGCTGACAGTGGAAGAAACACTCTTCTCTAGGGACAAGCGCACCAACTGGTAATCCAATACCAAATGGTCAACCCTGAAAATATTCATGAATAATATCATATAGACTGAGTGGGTTGTATTTAGGACTATAAATATACACATACATGCCTGTAACAGCAATTAATGAAAAAAAAGGGTTATGAATTTGAAAGAGAGCGAGGAGGGGTATATGGGAGGGTTTGGAAAGAGGAAAAGGGAGAAATGATACAATGATATATAATCACCCCCAAAGAGAAAATTCACCAAAAGAACAAAAATAAAACTGCAGTGTAAAGTAAGCCTGGCCTACAGTGAAGGAGTGGAGACAGAACCAGACAGAACTGGACAGGACAACTGTCAACAGTAAGCATTTTAGGACACTGGAAATCTACTGGGACTAGGGTTTGTTTCAGAAAGATTACCCAAACAGAATAGGGAAAGTGGGAGGCCACCACCGTTTCACTGAGCCTGTTTGTCTACATGCCCCACTCATCAGTGAGGAGATCCTGGTGAGAGTTAGCACTCTCCTGCAGGAGGCTGGTGTGATTGAGACTGGCATGAGAGCAGGAAAACCCACAGGCTTGGGTGTCGGTCAGCTACAAAAGAATAGCAACTATTTACAGATAAGCAGGAAGGCAGAGGTATGGTGGGGTTCAGAGGGGGGAAGGAAAACGGTGTCAATCAGCTCCCTGGCCGGTAAAACTGTTTCAAGATAAAAGGCAAAAATATGTTCTTGGGTAGATAAAGACAGAGAGAATTTGCTGATAGTCTTGCAAGGGGTTTCAAGGAAAGTCCTTCAGGTTGGGGGCAAAAGACAATGTACAGAAACTCAATTTCACAAGAAGTTAAACACTGCCAAAAGTATATGTAGCTAAATAAGAGAGACAGCATGGTACACTTCTTTTTTCTTAACTGATTTAGAAGACACAAGATGATTGTACACTGTAGTAATGATTATGTTATTGGGTTTACAACATAAAAAGAGCATATATACATCACAATAGTAGCTCAAAAGAGGAATGAATAAATGGAAAAATACCAAAAAGTTTGTATTTTACCAAAATGAAGTTACTACAAATTATAGTTAATATAAAATAAAGTGTGACAAGTTAGGATTCATACTATAATCTCTGGAATATATGCTATTTAAATAACTAAAATGTAGCAAAAATACCATCAAGGGATTGAATTGGTGAATTGGCATGGTGAAAAGTCTCTTTGACACTCTTTCAGTCTCATGATGCCCTTGCAGAGGAGAAGTTGTTGTACCCATCCAAAAGCCCAAAAGCTGGGGCAAGTGCTAAGAAACTCAAAGATGAGAATTTTATCTGGAAGTTTAGTCCTTGCCTGTACCCATTATGTCACATTGTACATGGTGGGTATCCTGTAAAGGTTGTAACTAGGAGACACCAAGTTCCCTTACCACACTCTCCAGACTTCTGCCACCAGGAGGGGCCAGGTACTGAGATCCTGTACAGAGAACAGAGAAAACATGCTTGCCTCCTTCATTCTCACCAGGGACCCAGGACACAGCCTGGGACATGGCACAGCAAGGAAATGACACCTTCCTTTCCCTCCTATCAGAGCTAGATTCTTTGTGGCTTTAAACTGAGACATCAGTCCCATTGGTAGCATTTATTTCCTATCATTGAAGTATGTTTAATTTATTTCAGCCTTTTGGGGGATTTCAAAAGCTAAGAGTAATTTGACTTTCCTGTGTTGCTTGGCTCTAAGCCTCTGTAAAAGGTAATCTCAAAAGAGAAAAGCAAAACAAAAGCAAATCCTCCAGCTGTTTGGTTGGGAATATTTGGTGGCCCCTTTGGTATACTGGTTAACATAAACCCCAAATCACCTGATATCACACATCCAAGACAGGTTGAGGGCCAGAGAGTCATGTGGAGATATGGGATCAAATTTTTAAGGAGGAAAGTTCACTTACCAGACTCCTTAGGCCTGGAGAATGCTATGGCCATTTGTGTAATTAACCGCCTCTGGATTAAAGCAGTAATCACTATGATTTTTGATGATTCTGCGGGTTGGGCTGTTCAGGCTCCATAGGTGTGGTCTTTTTGGATACATGTAATTTAGGCTGGACCTGTAACCATCTGAAGGCTTAATCAGGCTGGAACATCCTTAATGGCTCATTCACATGACACGGTGATGTGACCTGTGGGCCAGGAACTCAGCAGGGACCATTCATCAGTGAGCTTCATTTTTTTTCATGTATCTTGGGTATCTCAAAACACAACAGCTGGATTCTTGGAGTACACCAAGAGCAAATGTTCCAGGAGGAAGCAAGCGGGAATCTCCGCCCTTCGAAGGCAGAGAAGCTCAGAAGTAAATACCTAACTGGATTGATGCGTTCACCACAGTATGCTGGTAAACAGTCATAGGGTCATCTTAGATTCAAGAGGAGGGTAAACGAGATTCAGGTTTTAATGTGAGGGACAGCCTGAGCCTGTATTATGAGGAGAAATGCTGGGGCCTTCTTTGGAAATGAGCTGCCACCGTGGATCATGGTCCAGCCATGAGTGGAAGCTCTGCTAATGTGCTCGAGCTACTGAGGAACGTGAAGTTTCCCGGTGA